TCGATGACAACATCAACGACGAATCCGATGATGAGTTTGAGTCATGGAGCGAGATGTATAGAGGAGAGACGAGTTTCCAAGATGTTTTGGAAGCATTACGCAACCACATTGATATGCAGTGCTCAAGGATACTCAATCCACCGATCCGGATCTACAAGATGTGCGTAAATGTACTTTATGCAGCATATACTAATATGTCCCCTCTAGAGATCAATTAAGTCTTCTCTTTGTACCCACAAAGCTTTCTCCAAAGCGTGAATCCCTCTGCATGACAATAAGGGAATTTTATGATTTCCATAATGTTGGCGATGCCTACTATGGTGCCAAAAAAAAGAAGTACAACATTAGCATGGCCGTCCGTGTCACACACGTGAGTCCTTAATGGCTTTTGTGAAATTGTACTAATGGAATAATAGAAAGCTGAGAACAAGTCATTCGTGGTACCCTCTATCCCCCGATCTATCCCAACACAACTCAAGCGCAAGGCATCAAGTGGTTTTGACACAATAATCCAACCAAGATTCAAGAGTGAGTAGTCTAATGCAATAAAGTCTCATAACTCAAGTATTATTTAGCACGGACCTTTAGCAAAGAAACGAACACCATGCCATCAGAGTCGTGGAGCCCTTTTGAAGTGTACAAGACGTGCATAATCTTTGGTACAGAAGAAAACGATGGCAAAAAAATCATTGATATAACAGAGGAGACTTCTGATAAGAAGACTTTGATTTATTATTACGGTGACATCGAGCTCGGCCGTGGCCGAACAAAGGTGGTCCACAAGGTAAGCATCTTGATCTCAACTGCATCCAGACTAAAGTATGAATAGTTACGCTGGGACCTTGATGGTCCATATTCCACCGCAAAAGAATATTATCAAGGCGAGGTTGAAGGACAACCAGTGACCGCAAGGGAGAACTTCATCTGGCTACGGGAGGAATTGATACGTACGTCATTTTCAGCCAAAGTCACCGAAGATTTTGTCAAGAAGACGAAGGAAATGGACATCTCCATACACGGTATGTACTTTACATATGCATTACTCGTCCAATGGACTAAGTTCTTTGTAGATGTCGTTTTCTTGGTGCCAGTTCTCGTTCATGAAAAAGAGAAACCGGGCGATGATGGTAGAGCCTGGCTCACCGACAAAGTTATACCAGGTGAGATGAGGAAATTCTCAGGGACATACCGGGCGGGGAGACACCCCGAGGATGATTTTGCAGGCCAAACATGTGACGCTCTCGCACATTGGTCACTGTCCTCGAGTGAAAATCGACGTTTATTGGTTGATATACAAGGTTAGATATTTACTTACTGTGATAGATGATACTGACTCGTATGCAGGCGTGGTTGTCACCAATACCAATCGACCTCCTCGGGTTTACCTATTTGATGTCCAGATCCACAGGTAGGCCCTATCTCCCCAAAAGGTACCAGAAACTAACCGTTCCTCAGCGTCACAAGGGAGTCTGGGCTTGGTGATGGAGGCCACGAAGGCATTGTGCGATTCATCGAACAACACGTTTGTAACAAGATTTGCCAACGGCTCGGTCTGCCTGACCTCTCGACCATTGGTGATGCTACTGTTGACGATGATCCTGTTGACGATGATCCTGTTGACGATGATCATGTTGACGATGATACTGTCGATGACAACATCAACGACGAATCCGATGATGAATTAGCAGCCTGAGCTATAATGCTGCCGATACACTTACACATCTGCTACATGGTAGCGTCATACCCTATATTCATTCTCATAATCCCCTATCTTTCACTCCTACATTCTCATTCATATAATCGCTATCTATATCCCAATTTCAACGGTATTCATTGATCCAGGTTTCACTCCATCTCAGACCAGGCCCACCGTGGCCGTCACTAGTTTACACTCAAAACATGCAGATTTATTAATATATTAAGTCTTTTTATTCTTTATCATCAGTGCATTTTATGGGGCTAAGTTGTAATTGAGCGGTCGAAGAGGATGACTGGCAGCTCGCTTAGGAACAATTGAAAAAATTTTGACCTGGCGGTTCTCGGACACCGTAGGCATTATTAGCATATGGTTCCAAGATCGTGATGAAAAGTAAAGAGATGGCGTTTCTGAAGAATTTGGCAAAGTTAGTTATATATAGCAAGTCATTCAACGACCTCGGCTGCAGAAATAGTGGATGCTCACATTTGAAGGTTAGATGTACTTGTATCTACTATATATTCATGGCATTATGAAGGATACCAAATTACTCCCTGTCTATGGACAGATTAGAACACAGGTTCAATGTGATTACTATGAGTTTCAATTAAAGAAGCCCACCAGGTCAAGCTTCAAGATTGACTATACACTACTTTTGCATCGGATTAACTTGACAGAATGAGCAAAGATGCTTGATCTTAACTAGGAGACCATGCAAACCATCACATCGGGTATTTGGAACAAAAAGAGATTTGTTTAAGGTAAGCCACAAATCTTGGGTAAACCAATCTTACAGATTTACACTACCATCAAATAACCGTTGTACAAATATACATAAGGGGCTATATTGTGAAATAGCAAGGAACATCGACACAGTAGCTCTTGGACACCATAACCATGACCAGTTCACCCGCCCATGTGTCGACCTGAAGATTCCTATTAGCGTACATAATAAATAACTATGCAGTAAGATGTCCGAGAAGTGCATGGTCAAACTTTTCACAATTGCTCCTAAGCAAAGTGCATGGCCAACCTCCTTGACCTCCGTAAGCTGATAAGCAACGGCCGCTCAAAACTGACAAGTCATTTTCTATATCCTATGTACATGACAATAGGTCATACGTATTGGAGTAATCATATGCCAAAAGACTATTGATATGACAAGCCATTCCATCGATCATTGATATATATCAATATGTGAGGACAAAGCAAGAGTCGGTAGATAAATCTCGGTTGATTACGTAAGCAAATTCTCGTAGAACAACAGAGCTTAATCACATCCCTAGTCTGCCACATTATGCGTTAGAAATAGTGTACCATATGAATGACAATATTCCTCCTGTCAAAAATGAGTATATAGCATGAAGTGGAAGTCGAAGGAGGTTGACCCTGCACTCCTCGATCACCGTATACACTCTAAAGCACAAGCGGTATTAAGTTGGACTTCTTAGGGACCATGGTCGACAACTTTCCGGCTGGCTACACCTGTATCAAACTTGAAAAATCACCCCGTTGCAGGACTGCCAGGTTAACCTCCTGTTACTTACTACTCGTGACCAACTTGACGACCAGAGTTTAGTATTTAGAGATAATAAATATCATTGAGTCATTCTTGGAGTTGTTGATGCCAGTTATATATCATCTCCGTCAATTCACTCTGATGTGTATTCAGAAGGTGCATACCGTGTTCCAGCGGCGCCAGGTCAAATCGTACCGGAACCGCCTGGTCAACATCCTAACTGGCTACCAGCTGCGACCAACTTACTAACTATAATCAGTATTTAGAGCCCAAAATGAGTTCCAAATTGGTTGATAATGATAGATTTAGTCGTTCGATAGGTGGACAAGTCGCATTAGAGTCATTCACGTTCACTTTGTACCATCTCCGTCGATTCCATCACCTGCCTCCTCCCCTCACACCCTCTGTGACACAGATATAAAGCGGGCTTTTTGGCATCCTAAACTGTCTTAAATCTCAAAAATGATTTAAAAGTTGCTTTCTGTGCTTTTAACAAAGGAGGATCTCTAAATATATACGAGACAGGGGAGCAGGTGGGGACAATTTTGTGCTTTGGTCGAAAGTTTTGACCTGGCGGTTCTGGAACACCAGGTGCATGTAACAGTTGCTTTTCTATGCCTTGTTAAATCAGGAAGACTTACGCCATACATGGTAGAGATATCAAAACAAAGAGCCGATCTCAGTCAATGTATTTGAGAACTGAAATGGGCTTTCTACCATACAAACAGCATTATCTCTTAACAAATATTTCAAAGCTGCAGGTATTGGATGCTTGTCTTTGTTCAATTCGAGAGGCCAGACTAAGTTGAATACATAGGTAACGGCGTAACGAATGTGTTCTTGATACCAAATGCTTCATAACTATATTGTGATCATACGTGCATTTGCGAATGATATTATTGAGAAATTGATATTGAAAATTCAGTATTATGTCTGTGAAAGATACTCTGCCAAGAAAGTTAAGTCTTACATAGCCCAGAAGTCTACGTCCATAACTAACCCTTCGTTACTCTATTCAACTCTCCTTGAAGTATGAAATTAGCGGCAGTATGGCTTCACTTCATTATCATTAAACAAGTGCAACATACATCTCAAACCAAGGGAAACAATTCTTTATATCCCGGAAAGCCAGGTTAAATCACCTTCTTTCTGGAGATGACTTGTCATTGATCGAGGTGAAGCAGTCAGTTTTGTCGTTCTGTCAACAGGCTGAAGCTTACTTTCGTATACTATGTCATTAGGTGATCAGTTTCAACTTGGCGGCTTTGAATCCTGTGCACAATGAAATAAACAGGGTAAAAAATATGCCGAGATCATAGTGCATCTTGTTATTTTGGCAGTGAATAACGAGAGTGGGGTAAGACAATTTCCTGAGTTAGCGAAGATAGAAAACAAGCGTTTATATTTAACCTCGCTTAGGACACTTGTTAAAGAAATGAGACCGTTTTTGCATGACAGAAAGTCCATTTATCTATGTTGTATAGATGAAGTGATGTGAATCAACGGAGATGATTTAACTGACATGAATGACTCTAAAGTGAATTTTTCTGCTCCCTGAATGACTAAACGATTATCATTAACTCCTTTTAAACTCATTTAAGCCTTTAAATACTAGTTTCCGTTGTCAAAGTGGCTACAGGTGGCACCCAGTCAGGAGGTTGACCTGGCGATTCTGGAACACCGTAGGCAATGCCTCCTTTGAGAAAAATACCAATCATTATTCGCTCAGATAAAGTGATTAGAATGTAACTGTAGAAGTAATTACATGGTAAGGTGTGTCCCATCGAGGCTGTTCTGGAAAATCGACAATCAATAGTTCAGTACCGTGGTCGGGAAGCGCATGGTCAAAAATTTTTCAATTGTTCATAAGCGAGGTGCCTGGTCAACCTCTCCGCTCCACCCACCGTTCCTTTAGACCTGTAAGTAATTAGGGAACTAACCATCATCTAATATACTGTTAGATGGGTATTTCTGGTGCGTGAATGTGCAGTCACACGTGGCCTTATTCACAAAATTAAATGTATTCAATGATCTCGGACTAGTAATAAATACCGATGAAATTATGTATCGTAACGTAGATGTGAGGTGAAAGAGGAACGAAATATGACATGGAAGAGGGTATATGGAAGTTGCTGAAACCAAGCAAATTATATGACGTCTTACTCAGTAGCAGTAGACTCTTCAGACTCTTTAGTACCCTCGATAGGCTCCCCAGTAGCTTGAACGGAGTCAATGAGGGGTGGTAGATCGAGCTGTCGACAGATTCGATTGCACTTATGCTGCTCCTTGAATGTTTGAATCCCATGCTCACCCCCGTCGCCAACCCCAGAATCAGCTGTCATTCTGATAAGAGGTTAGTCATCGGTAATGTTAATTTTTACTAGGATCAGCTTACGAATGGAACTGAACATCGAAAAGGTAGAGGCGAGGCAGTTGACCGGCCGTCCTGACAAGTACACCTGTGGATCAGTCTATCAGGGCGGATCCTTTTTGTGAGTAACTTCCTCTCACCTTGCAAATCGACAAACACGCGCTCCTTTGAACCAGTGGAAAATGACCAATGGGCCAGGGCGTCACAGGTAATTCCTGCGAGATCCGTTTCGAGATGTTGGCCAGCTTGATAGGTACCAGAGAATTTTTGCATTTCACCATGGACCAACTCATCTGATAACCATGCCCCCGCTTTACTTCCTTTGACATGTTCGTGCAGGATCACGGGGACCAAAAAAGCGATGTCTATAACGAGTCAGTCACTCTCATTACTACAATCAAACATGTGCATACCATGTATCGAGATGTTCATTCTCTTTGTTTTTGTTACAAAGTTTTCGGTGACTCGTGCTGCAAATACAGCACGTATCATCTCCTGTCGGAGCCATTTGAAGTTCGAGGCGGTAGTTACTTCACCATCAGTATCACCTTGGTAATACTTCTTTGCCGTATAGAACGGTCCATCCTCAGACCGACGAAGCTACATGCTCCTGAGTTAAGATGTCATGGGGGTTGTAAATGTACTCACTTTGTGTACGACTTTTGTCTTTCCCTTACCTAGCTCATATGTGTCGTAAAAATAAGCAAGGTCAAAAGTTTCACTTCTCTCCTCTGATAGACGGACAGTCTTCCTTCCTTCCTCATCTTCCTTCTCTTTCCAGATGACACGGGTTTCGTACACCATTAGAGTTAGAGGGCCATCTGAGGTGTCGTCGTCGTCGCTTTCAGTGCGTGCTGTAAGAGGCGTTAGCTATGGGAAGTAGATCATGGGATGACTGACGCTTGAACTGTGGCCGAATCAGCGTATCATATTCGCTGGATGCTTTTCTTTTTAGGCGAGAAGACAGTGCGGTTGACGTGAAAAATTTGCTTTGGTTTTGTGTTTCCTTCTATTGAATCCGTCAGCAAGTTTGGAGGAACGATGAGGAAGAACACACGTGGGTGACATGCACAATCATATCCAGTTTGAACTTTCCGACATCCTTTTTCTTATCCGTCGGGCCAAGGTAGTAGACACCAAGTCCATTGTGAAAAGTCCAAAATTCATGTATGGTCCCGCTGAGTGTCGTAGGGTGTGGAGCAAGTTTCTGTTTTGTGCCATTGAAACGAAGACTAAGTTGGTCTCTATAGAAAAGGTATCAGGAATCCGTAGGCAGCTAGCCCTCCTTCCACATACTTTGTATAAATACGGACTGGCACGTCAAGGATCCTTGAGCATTCCACATCGACATGCTTCCGTATGTCCTCCAAAACATCTTGAAAACCAGTTTCAGGCTTGTAGAATTCACTGTACGGTGTGAAATCCTTCTTAAGCACGGCATTAAAGAACATTGATGTGACCTACAACCAATGTTAGCTTGAGTAAGCGTGAGACAGTGGTAACTGACCGATATGAAGATACCTGCTCGTGCAGGTGGGGTGTTACGAGCATGATCTGAGATCGGTGCAGGTGGCGGTCTATGTTTTGGCTGAGCATTCAACCGATCTCTGAAGTTCTGGGAACGAGCCGCAAGTAGCTCTGTGGCAATCTGATCTGCCTATTTATCATTTGAGTCAATTTTCAACAATACACAGCATATCGAACGCACTGCAACAAATGCTCCTGTCTTAGTCGATGTCAGAGAAGCTGAACGTTGATGACTTGATTTCCGGGGGTTGTGAGGCGTTTCGAGGGCCTTATCGACACGCTTCAGAACATAACTCGAATCAAAGCTCTTCCTTTGTATGGGTGCTGATAGCGGAAGATCGATGTCAGCATAGATGCGACAAAGTGGCAAACAAAGCGGACGAGACGAACCAGAAAGACTTGCACAGCTACCACATATTTCCCCCTTAAGCTTTGGGAAGATGATCCCGCATGATACACATTGTGGTTCGTCTGGCTTTCCACTGGTACATTGGCTGCATCGACTGCCCTCTGCAAACTTGGCATGGGGGAAGACTGCACCGCACGACGGACACTGGACCCCACCTGAGGACATTGGATGCAAAGAATGAGACAAATAACGGAGTAAAAGGTAAGTGCATTAAATACCTGGGGTGAATTTCATCTGAGAAAGCCTATATTAAAACACCCGTTTGAAACTTGGACCGCAATGCCGCCTAACAACAAGGGAGGGAACAACCAATATGGAGGAAAACGTGAGCATTTTCCATCTATTTTATTCCACGGTCTGACGGTATGAAGTGGTATATCCAGATCGCTGGCCAGAAATTCTCCGGAAATTTCGAAGACAGGGGCTCAAGAGGAAGGAGATGATCCAAGAGCTGATAGACGACCATGGGTTTTATATTGGGTGAGACAATAAACATATAACCTGCAAGGGTAGTCATTTAACCAACTCGAAAAGTGAACGGAAGTTGCAGGACGAGCTAACACTCCATACAACATCTGTGCGCAGGCCATCACACACCGAACAAGAAGCTGGTACTGCTCTAGTTATCTTGGCCAGTGAGGACCCACATGGAAGATTGGGGGCAAGGGCACTGAAAGAAAGATTGGCGTCAAATGATGTTCAAGTCTCGAGGTATTGGCCATCCTCCACTTACCAAGACGTCACTGACCTGGCGATCATAGAGCATTTGTTGGAGATGTCCTTAAATTAATGGACCCCGATGCTGTAGCGAGAAGGCAGCCGGGTGCTCAGAAGGTCCATCGCCATGGACTTCACTCTCTTGGGCCCAATGAGGAATGGTCTGTTGATGGACATGATAAACTTGTGAAGACGATGGGGATCGGTGTATGGGGAGTTGTTGACAAGTATTCCCGAAAGGTATTAGGCCATTTTGCAGTGCCAAACAACCGTCTCGCCGACACGGTACTTGGCTGCTTCTTGTTGGTTGTCCAACGAGTAGGAGGTATGTAAACATGCACCAGCTCTTGATCAGCTGTGATGATGCAAAACTATAGGAGTTCCAATTCAAGTGACGGCAGATAAAGGCTCGGAGACAGGGAAAATCCATTCCCTTCAGGATGAGCTTCGGTACGTACATACATTGTCTAGCATTTCAACAATAACATTGAGCCTTCTAGCTCTTTTTTTGCCCCACAAATGGATCTTGAGGAAGTTCCAGCTTTTGTTCACCTGAAAAGTACCCGCAATATCACGGTTGAGCGTCAATGGCAACCCCTTTTCCAGAAGCACCTACAGCCCCTCATTGTCCCCTGGCTTGACCATAAAGGAGTATATCATTCTGAGAATGAACTACATCAGTACGTCTATCACTCACCGTGACAGCAACTCACTGATGGGTAAATAGAGGGGTTGCACGTTTCATTTGGGCAAAGGTTGTGCAAAATGTCCTCGACAGGTATGCAGAGGAACAAGCAAACCATAAGATACGGTATCAAGAGGAAAGCAATTTACCTACAGGTGGACGACCAGAACAGTTCTATAAGCATCCAGAGCGATGGGCAGGGGTACCGTGCTTGATTCCGGTTACCCCTGAAGTCATCGCCGACCTTGTTCAGCAATATGTCCCTGAGAACATCTTCCACTTCTGCCCACCCGACATGCATCACGCCGCGACATCTGCGCTACTACAGCTCGGGAACCCCACGCTGATGTCTGATAATGCATGGGACGTGTTTGAAGCTATCCTACCAGTCGTCGAAGGTCGTCTCAGCACCATCGATTGACAGTAGATCAGTTGAATTTAGTGGCTAGCGGCTGTACTTACTCGCTCAGATAGTCACTATTTCCTTTCTACCAAGCAATTCAATTGACGCATTTAACTCATGTAACATCAAAGGCCTACATCCCTCCTCCAATACATGAGTTTACAGTCTAAGTTTGATTATTGAAATTGGTACAATGAGCTAGTTGTCGAAGGTAGGGGTTGGAGTGGAGCGGAGAAGTTGACCAGGCACCTCGCTTATGAACAATTGAAAAAATTTTGACCATGCGCTTCCCGACCACGGTAAACGACGGAGATGGTATAAGTGAACATGAACGACTCTAATGCGACTTGTCCACTTACTGAACGACTGAATATATCATTATCTACTACTTTAGAACTCATTTTGGGCTCTAAATACTGATTCTAGTTGTCAGGTTGGTCGCAGGTGGTAGCCAGTCAGGAGGTTGACCTGGCGGTTCCGGTACGATTTTGACCTGGCGGTTCTGGAACACGGTACACGGTGGTTCGCCATTAAACTTATGTGATTGCAATTAATAGTATTACTTCGATTCAATAGATTATATACCTTTCAAAAGTTTAGCCATCCATTGAAGCCGTGATTTCTTCGTTCTGCCAAGAAGGGTCAAAAATTGGCCCTACCCTCCTCCGACCATTAGAAATTACTTGGGGGCTGCGCTTTAAAGAATCTGAAAGAATTGAATCCAAATATTCGACATCAAACACAACTATATTCACTGAGATTTGGTCGTATCGACGGCTTGTGAGCGTTTGTGGTGTGTAGCTCATGGTATAGAAGCGCTGCTATCTCACCCTAGGCTATTATGAGAGGCCCCTGTATCGCTTACCATGATGTTTTTTTTACATTGAATCTTCCTATTGATCTCGACTCTTGGCCCAAAACTTGGTGCCATGAGTAACGGACCTCTAAAGGTCAAGAAGAAAAAGTCGTATGGAAGTGAAATATCTACTGAGTAATTTGAAAATGTATATAGTATCTATATCCTAAGTTTCATAGGTTCAGGCTATGTAGAAGAATCTTTATGTGGGAACGGGTGGCCAGTGAGCAAAGGAAGCACGGGTAATATTTTGTAAAGGGCTTACTGGCCCAGGGACACCTTTAATATGGTCGAAATAAATTATATTAATGATAGATATCATGAATCGAGGTATATATCGCTCTTTCCTCCTAAGAAAAAGTTTGGTCGGACGAGGGGTACAGCACTGTAGTGTAGTCTTCCTGAATTAGCGGGGACAGAAGCAACGTTTCAACAAATCTTTGGGACATCCATTGAAGTATATAGAGTGTCAGAGAACCGCCAGGTCAATTTTTTCGATTGTTCATGAGGGAAGTACATTTACGGCGTTCCAGAACCGCCAGGTCAAAACTTTCGACCAAAGCCCGCTTTATATGTGTTTCACAGGAGGTGCGGGGCGAGGAGGCAGGTGGGGTGAATCCGACGGTGATGGTATTAGTGAACGTGAACGACTTTGATACGACTTATCCACCTATTGAACGACTAAATCTATCATTATCAACTGCTTTGGAGCTTATTTTGGGCTCTAAATACTGATTCTGGTAGTGAAGTTGGCCGCAGGTGATCGCCAGTTAGGCGGTTCTGGAACACGGCACTAAAGTGGTAGAACAGGGCTTTGATTGAGCTCTGTTGCCTCATAATGAATGAAGCTTCCGTGATCAAACCAAAATCTATTTACTAGGTCTTGCTTTGTCTTCACATTTTCACATGTCAATGATCAATGGAATGGTTCGTCATATCAATAGTCTTAACACGTATCACCTCAATCTAATGCGTATAACTGATCGTTATGTACATGGGATACAGAAATTGGCTTATCAGTTTGGATGGTTGTTGCTTTTCAGCTTACGCAAGCAACTTCAAGTTTTGACAGACGACTCGAAGGACACTATCTGACTCTTGTACACACTAGCCATTACCCACTAAACAATATTAACATTTAGGTGTTCAACCTTTTGCGGTAACCTCAGGCACCATTCAAACCAAACACCTCGGACTCTATGACCGTTTTAAGTCCATTTGATCTATGCTCTAGAGAACAAGTGATGTGAGGAGGCAGGTGGTGTGAACCGACGGAGATGGTATAACTAACATGAATGACTCTAAAGTGTCCTGTCGGCTTTTCTGAATGATTAAATACATCGTTATCAGCCACTTTTAAACTAACTTAAGCCTCTAAATACTGATTCCGGTCGTCAAAGTGGTGGAAGGTGGTACCCAGTCAGGAGGTTGACCTGGCGGCTCTGGAACACCGAATACATTCAGTTTCTAGTTTATTGGGGTTATTTATTGCCACTATCACCAAAGAATAAGGCGCTCAGTATGTGGTCAACCAGTAAGGTTGTTGAAACTGTGCTCAACAGTTCAAGTCATCTTCTTCAATAAAGTGTACACCATCAATCAAGTCGGCTCCTTATAGTGAGGCGGAGATGATCCCAGGAACACCAAAGTGGGTGACATAACATAACAGTTAAGGGCTATTATTGCGCTGATGGGTTTTCATCAGACCCATTCGAGTCATTGAGTTCTAAATTGATTGGGGAGTTGGCAGGTTAATCTGCTGGATTCAGCCGGTAAGTCTAGTATCTTCAAGCTGTGTAGATGAAGCTTGACAAGGAGTAGGATATACGGTGGCCCTAAACCGCCAGGTTGAACTTTCGACCGAACTCCTCAAATGAGAAGTTTCGATTAAGCTGTAGTTAGTAATAAGTCTTTGATGAATTCAAGTCTGATATAATTCATATTTCACTTGACGACCTGGTGTCAGATGGTGTCAGCCTGGCGGTTCGGGTACAATATCTTACCTGGTGGCTTAGGGTCACCGTAATTTGTGTTTGAAATGGACACTAGGCATCTTATGCTTATTTCAAGGAGCTGGGCTTGAAGGTCAAACCCAGCAGTTTGCGGCCACTATACGATGAGCCCGCTTACAGTCTTTTAAATCGTAATTTTTCCCATTCATCATATTTTATAACTGCTTTGAATGTAGTTTTTGGAATTGATAAAAGAAAATGAAAGGCGGTTTAATGCAGTTTTGACTCCTTATCCAAGTATAAAACGCATGGTTATCCGAACTTAGTTGGTTTCAATACGGCCACTTGGCTGCGATTCTGGAACATAATAAACTGCTAGCTACAGTAAATCAAACTCCGTATTTGTTATTTTATCATTTGACCGCTTGATATGATTTACCATGAATGCAAGTATATTTAATGTGCTGATCCCCAAAGCAGTTGCTTGTTTTCACTAGATCAAGTCGAACGGTTTGCTTTAGGAGCTTACAGTGCCCGAAAAATGCATGGTCAACCATCAATCTCCATTATATCCCCCTTAATCAATGTGGCCATAAATAAGCAATGTTATATTTGTTTGATTCATTGAAAACTTAGACCTGGTGTCAGGATACTCGTCCTTACATTGCTGTTATTGGTTCGTGGAATTGTCAAAAGAGTCGTGGTTTATTGAAGTGTTAACAATATGATCATCACTCCTTGAATTGAATTCGTCACTACGGGTCATATCAATCAAGAAAATGCGTCAAATTGGTGGGAGGGATTGGTAAATACTAAGTATGTGTATTAGGTGGTTCCTTGCACTCAATAAGGCTATTAACGCTTGGTCGATTCCGCCTATTCATCAG